CTTTTAAAAAAATTCTTCATTAACAACTTTTTTTTTTTTTTTTTTTTTTTACTTTGAGAAATGATAAGTTCACTCCACTCAAGCCTCCTCCTCCTTCGAGTGAACACCTGTTTTTGCACACTGCCTCCCAGTGGTTTAAGCTCAAAATGCACTTTTACGTTCTGGACCCCTTTTGCACGTCTCCTTTGTCCGAAACACCCATTTCAGGTCTTTGAGTCCTTGGGAACAACTAATTAGAGTTAATAGCTACTTTCAGTAGCCTATCAGTATCAGTATTGATGAGACATACACTGACTGACTGACTGAAGGTGCAATAAACAGGCTATTCTGATTTATTCTTTCTTCTCTCATATTTCCAGCTCCTCTGGCTGTTCCTGTAATCAGCAGTAACTCTTCATCAGCAGCAGCAGTAGTGCCAAAATGTGAACATCCTAACATCACTGAACTCTGTAAGACACATGCAGGTACGTCAATGCTTGCTGTTACCAGACTGCTAAACTTTTAAGACGCCAATAGTTATTTAGCAAAAAGCAAAAAAAACTAACAAAAAAAACAACTTCTGTTCTCACTTATTCTAAGCAGATTTGAGTTTTTGCAGATAATATTCTTAAGATTCTTGTAATTGTGAGTTCCTAAAAGAGACCGTTTAGAAGCACAGGTCTGTTTTATCATTGCTCATTTGTTTCTATTTATTTATTTGTTTTTTTCCCAAAAGTTCACGTCCACGGTTATGATGCTGCTGAAGCAGTGATCCGATTGGTCGTCACTGCTCTGATGGGCGTGGCTGCTGCAGCTGCTGTTGTTCTTCTGCTCAATGACATCAGATCTACAAGAGGTTAAAAGAAAACAGATAAGACTTCATATACTGAACTAAAAATATTGGGATAGATCTTGGGATATATCTTGGAGTTGTATTCTGTATTCTAAAGATACAAATATGTGTGGTCTAATTGTTTAGTGACTGTAAAACGAAGCTTTGCTTACCAATGCTCTATTTTGGATCGTAAAAGCTTCATTACCCGAATTGTTTCAATATGGTGTAGCTACATCAGGACCATCTGGTGTCCAAAACGATGACTATTCTTCAATATTTAATTTTACTCTGTAGTGGCATCTTTATATGGCTTTATTAATTAAACTCCTTTCTTCTTCTTTTTCTTCTTCTTCTTATTATCATGCTTACTTTTTTTTAGCAATACTACAAATGATTTGGATGTAGCCTAATTCTAAATATAGAAATATGTCATGCCAAATAAAGCACCTTCAACTGAAAACCACCTACTGAACTGATGTAAATCTATGAACCATATAGGTCCTATACTTACATAATAAATCATCTGGCAAATCATCTCATGCAGATGAATACATATGATCAGGAGCTGTTTTCCAGCTCTAATTAAGCCTACATTAACTGTTCTTAATTTTGTGTGTGTCCTGTGTTAATGAAGTACATTAGGTCTTAAGTTTCTCCAATCCTTATTTCCCTTTTTTTTTTTTTTAAGTATGTACAGAATATGCTTCTTTTAACATGAAATCTTTACATGAGAATATAATTTGCTCAAATAGTAATCACCTTAATGTAAAGTAATACCTTGGCCTAAAAAAACAATCCCATGTTGTAGCAAAAAAAAAAAAAAAAACTGAGAAAGTTAGTCGCAAAAGAGCGACCAGTGGGAGGAATGAGTCTGGAGCCCTGAATTGCCCAGCTCCCTCTGTCAATGATCTAGCATCCCCTCAGCACCTGCGTTCAAAATTCTCTGGTGCCGCCCCTGCCCAACCTGTATCCCGAAGCTCTCAACATCCCAATGAAAGTTTGAAGCCAACTTTTCATTTGGTTCATTTTGATGGTGCGAATTGAACAAAGAACTGCAAAGGGTTACACGGACCAAACTGTGGGTCATATTAGTAGGGTTACAAATATAAAAATTTAAATCAACCCAAAATGTATTGGTCCTTTAAGGAGATCTGATCTCCCTAACATTAGGGTGTGCTAGAATGGAGTTTGAATCAGATTGTTTTTCAGCAGAAGGTGATCAATTTACAGTATTTTCCAATCGTAGTGTATAATTTATAGTGCAATTCATTGTAGAATAACCAATTAATAGTTTACCACATTTTATATTGTTGTTTGACAATATTTTTTTTTTTTTGCTTTGCCCCGAAATGCAACACAAGTCTTTTGATGGAAGATGCTCATTTTATCGCTTTCCTACTGATGCAGAGACTCTGGGTTCGGACCATAAGGTAAAGTCATATGATTATTCCATGTAAACACGGTAAAAGTTAAACTTTAATGATGCATAGTGCTTAAAGCCATGTTAAAATGAAATGTTTGCAGCCACAAGCAGCTGTTATAAAACATATAGATTAAGATTTTCTAGAAGCAAGGAAAAAATTACATTTTGTGTACCCATCCTAACAAAACGATAGCTGAAATGTTACTTTATTCACTAAAATAAGTTTAATCTTACCATATCCAAAAAACCTCACTTATTCTGCTGTTATTTCATATATTAAATGCACTAGAATTTTATTGAATAGTACATGGAGACACGTTTTTAATTAAAATATTCATCTGAATCAAAGATTTATTCACTTTTAATGCACCTTATTTCGAAATGTACAGAAATGCGTGCTTTCATATGTCCTTTAGTTATGATTATTTCATTTATTCACTAAACTATTTATTACTAATGTCTCATTTCAGTTTTAGTTTGGCTCTAGTTTTGTATTTATTCCAGTTTATATGAAAAGGTTCGTAGATTAAAATTCATATACAGAGTAAATCCTTTTCATTGAACACGTTAAAAATAAGTTTGAAAAGTTGTCGGAAGTGTGGTGCTGGTGACGCTGAATGCGAGCGACCGTGATGCTGTATGTTTATAGCCTAACTTTAGCTTTTAAGTTCTGGTGCTTTTATTTAGGCTCCAAAATTCATAAAAGTGTATTATTTTGTGAAGATTATCTTGATGGACAAAACGTGTAAGTTTCATGAACTATGATTGAAAACAGAGCTTATATTTTGCTATAATCCAAAAGCCTATGGAAAAATCCCATTGGCTTTTTGTCGAGGGAACCAATGCGATGCTAACAGCCGATCCGCCTACATAGTTCCACCACTCTATTGAAAAATTTAATAGATAATGGAGTAAAAGTTTTATCATTTGTACGTGTTTACAAACGGAAGAAATTTTAAAACGAGGCGAATGGAGATTTCCGGCCAAGATGATATGTTGAACAGTCGCTCGCGTCAGAGACAGAAGAAAAATTGTCTCAAATCTTGATTATCAGCTTATAAAGACGCTCCAAACAATGAAAACGTATGATCAAACCGGCCAGACTGATAATTAAAGAGGGGGACAGTGAAAAGAAGCAAGCTGCGATGAGCACTAAGATTCTCGAACAATCTGCCGACCATGACTACGATATGGAGGTTAGCACAATCAATCAGTAAAAGAAAACACTCCACACCGACAACTCCAAGCAAGATTCCAGCTGGGAAATAGAGCAAAACTACATTAAAGGAAACTGAGGTCTCTAACCTGACCATACTGGAAGCCATTCAGAGTTTGGAAAAGAACTTCAATGAGCAACTGACGCAACTTCGAGAGCAAGCTAAACAGAGTAGCAGCATGATTGCTAGCCTAACAAAAGCCATGCAGTTCAATGCCGAAGAAGTTAAGGAATGCAAGGGGAAAGTCATCGAGCTGGAAAAGCAGACATCCCACCCTGCAAAAATTCATTTCAGGGAGGTAGTACCACCCCCAATATCGTTTGTGTCTTGAATGAACATCAGTATTTAAAGTATTTAACATGTGTATTACTATTAGTATATGAGATCATGAGGTTTTAAAGTGACAGCAGCCCTTTGCTGTTGCCCTGTGCCAATGTCCTTGACTGAATAATGTTTGTAAAATAAATAAGAATGGATTTATACAGTGAAGACTATGCAGTATATTTGTACATTTGATTACAATATAATATTTCTATTTTTCAATGCTTTAAAAGTTTTTCCAAGTAGGTTGATTTCTTATGTGTCTTTGTTCTGTTGTAATTGTTTTGACTGTCTACTTGTCTTCAGTAGGCTTGAGTTTTCTTTTCCTCTTCATCCCTGATGAAGTTGCCCAATTCAAGGACTTTACAAAAAATGAAAAAAGCAAAAGTGTTGTTGCCTTGCTTCAGCTCCTGCAGTCTGTGTTCCCTAATGTGGACATAGCTCTTTGTATTTTCTTGACTTTGCCTGTGACTAACGCCAGTGGAGAGCGTTCCTTTTCCAAACTGTCTTTAGTCAAAAACCATCTCCGTTCATCCATGTTACAAGAGAGGCTAAACCATCTTACCTTGATGTCCCTGGAAAGTGACATTCTCCGATCCCTGGACTTCAGTGACATTATCAAGGACTTCTCTTTCCGCAAAAGCAGGAAAAAAGTTTTTAAGGTAAGCAATTTTCTTCATTGTATATTGCAACTGAATTGGCAACTGTTATTCTGAATGCTAGAATTACATTCTTGTCTCATCTTGATTCTGTTACTACTTCAGCAGTATTAGAAAGATGCCATTTTTTTCCCCTCAGTAGTTGTGTACCTAAAGAGGTGGGTGCTGAATTGGGGGCGAGGCTTATGCTGCAGTTCTATGGATGGTTTGCCCTCCAGGTTTTCGAGCCGGTCACGTGACTGAAAGCTATAGTTCACATTGTTAACAGCTTGTTCTCTACACAACTTTACTGCAAGGTTTCAAATTTGACTGAAACAATTTCAGACCACTGAACTGATGGTGAAAATGTTTCACACATTGGTGTTTTGCTGTTTGTGCTGTTGCCATCTGGTTGGTAAGTTACAAACACCTTTTTATTTTTTTATTTTTTACAGTTGCATGTTATTTTTGTGGAGCTCTAATGCATTCAGTTCCACCATCAATAAATAAATAATGCAGCCTTTACAAATACTTGAGATTGTAATAAATAAATAAATACATATCTAATAGAACTTATGCTCGCTAGGCTGTTTCCTTCATTTTAAACAGTGTTGCCATGATCACTTTTTAAAAGCAAGTTTGGGTGTAAAAGTTGTCAATTTAGTTTGAGGTTTAGTTCTAGTAAGAGTTAGTTTGAAATGTTTAAGATGTGAAGGCACCATTATAGAGTAGGGCACTAGGACCTTGGTTTATGTTAAATTACTTTAAAGCGTTACTCCACCCCAAAATGAAAATTGTCATTAATCACTTAGTGTTCTCGTCGCTTCATGAAATTCAGATTGAACCACTGATGGCAGATGAACTATTCTGACGATGTCTTTCATACTTTTCTGGACCTTGACAGTGTTATTTACTTGGCAGTCAATGGGACAGTCACAAGCCTCCCGGTTTTCATCCAAAATATCTTAAATTGTGTTTCGAAGATGAACAAAGCTTTTACGGGTTTGGAACGGCATGGCGGTAAGTGATTAATGACAATTTCATTTTGGGGTGGAGTATCCCTTTAAGTACACTCTTAAAAATAAAGGTGCTTCACGATGCCATAGAAGAACCTTTTTTTCTAAATGGTTCCATAAAGAACCTTTAACATCTGAAGAACCTTTCTGTTTCACAAAAGGTTCTTTGTGGTGAAAGAAGGTTCTTTAGATTACAAAAAGGTAAGAAAGAGATGGTTCTTTAAAAAACCTTTGACTGAATGGTTCTTTGTGGAACCAAAAATGGTTCTTCTATGGCATCGCTTGAATAACCTTTTGAAGCACCTTTATTTTTAAGAGTGTACAGCCATTGCAACTGCTTTGAAAATGATTTTGCATGGGAAAGTTTGAACTGTCACATATAGACATCAAAACTCAGCCTACCAAACTCAGTAATGGTGACAATCAACAAAACAAAAGACTCATGCCGCAGTGCATGCTGCCAAACTCAACAATAGCACCCAGCATGTATTACGGCATGGATGTGTGCACGCAAACTGACTTCATACATCCACAAAAAATGACTGCCTCTGCAGATTAAGTCACTGAGCAAAAATGATGAAAAAAAGAGAAGCTAGTTTTGAGAAAAGATCGTGCAGCGCATGTTTAACAGTTAAACCCAGCTCACTCAGTGTGATAAAAATAAAATGTGTCTGAAATGAAGTTCCCAGTCTTCACCTGATCTGCTGAGACAACTTTCACGAAGCAACCAAAGACAAACCTCTTCCACAAACACTTGACTCAGCGGCAGCTCTTGTGTTTATTGGCCTTACTGAGCTCAGGATCTAGTCAAAACCATCACAAAAAACTTTATAATGTCACCTCAATTAAAGTTATCCAATTCATGTGTTAGTTTAACTACAACCTAACTATCCTAGTTAGAATTTTGCTGTAGGGGCAAAGGATCTAATAGCAGCAGGATTTTATTAATAAATAAAGATGGTAATCTAAGAAATAGCAATAATCCAAGACAAAGGTAAATGCAACCCAAGAGTTTGTGTTAAAGAAGTAACTAATGAATAAAACACAGGGCTATAAATACAAGAGATTAGAAAGAAACTAAACTAGACACAGGTGAAGGGGAAATCAAAAGCCATGGAAAGCTAACAATATACTGTAGAAACTAAAGAAAACCGAGCGAAACCACAGAAACAACAGAACAAAAAGAGCATCAAAATAAGACTTTGAATGGCAAGAACCAAAGCCATTGCACTACACACAATGAAACTGTGAAATTATATCCAATGTTATTAAAGTTAAATGGTCGGGAAAATGGGGATATGGTTGCATTATGTGTAATAGTATACATAGCATATAATTGCCACTCCATCTGCCACCCAGCTCCACCCCTGCCTCCTTTCTTCTATTTATGAGTGAATGTATGTTTTGAAAACCCCTCACTGTGCACATACTACCTCCTAGTGGTGACAGCCCAAACAAACACTTTACAGTAGACATCTCAGAAGTTAAAGGCGCTCAGTATCAGCATTGACCATTGGCCACACTGACAGACTGATGCTGCAATAAACATTTTATTACTATCAGATTCGTATTTCTCCCATGTATGGCTTCCAGCTCTTTTGTGTGTCTGCTGCTGTTCTTCAATTCACATCTAAAGATCAAACTACAAACTACGGTTACACTTTATTTCGATAGTCCACTTTAGACATTCTATTAACTATAAGTAACTTTGTAACTACATGTCAACTACATGTCAACTAATTCTCATTACTTTGCAACTACATGTCTACTAACTCTCGAGTAGACTGTTCGGGTAGGTTTAGGGTTAGTAGAATAAGTTGACAAAGAAAGTGTTAGAAGATATTAAGCAGACAGTTTACTAATACTCTACTAACTGCTAGTTGACATGTAGTTGCAAAGTTACTTACTGTTAATAGAATGTCTAAAGTGGACTATCGAAATAAAGTGTTACCCAAACTACAGCTGATTTCAGGATTTATAAACAACAGAAACCTTAATCTGTGTACAATCTGTTTGTTCATCAGGTGTGTTTGTTTATATTCTAATCATTGATTTAAGTAATAAATCTGATTCGGTTGCTTGCAAAATTCCACATTCACAGATTCAAATTCTAGACCTCTTTTTTTGTTTGTTTGTTTTAATACAATTTAAGCAATAGTCCTCATATTAGTTAAAATATCTCAGAACAAAAAAAATGTAAGCACAATCAGTTTGCAGTTCTTTTCCTGTATATTTAGTGACTTGTAAATGTCAAAACTATTGCTAGTTTTTAATGCATTTAATACCTCTTCCTTTTTATTTTCTTTCTTCAGTTTTATTTTGTTTCTCATTGTTGTTACTACCCGTATTTTTTGAGCATTCATTAAAAAACGAAGTAAAGAAATAACAATCTGCAAAACACGCGAGATGTGAGCACAGCGGGCAACATGTCTGTCTAGTGCATGTTTACATGGAAAAACAATGGAAAAAGTAGAAGAGTGGAATGGAAAAATGTATTTTGTGTTAATTTAGGCTGTCTAAAATGTGTTTTCTGTCCATTATTTCTCAATCTTAGGCTGCTAAAAAGCGGTATGGGAAACACTGCTTACATGTATAAAATAGAAGTTAAATCTTTGGTTGCAGACGGGGCAGCAATGCTTTTGGGTGCCGGTTGCCACTCCATCTGCCACCCAGCTCCACCCCTGCCTCCTTTCTTCTATTTATGAGTGAATGTATGTTTTGAAAACCCCTCACTGTGCACATACTACCTCCTAGTGGTGACAGCCCAAACAAACACTTTACAGTAGACATCTCAGAAGTTAAAGGCGCTCAGTATCAGCATTGACCATTGGCCACACTGACAGACTGATGCTGCAATAAACATTTTATTACTATCAGATTCGTATTTCTCCCATGTATGGCTTCCAGCTCTTTTGTGTGTCTGCTGCTGTTCTTCAATTCACATCTAAAGATCAAACTACAAACTACGGTTACACTTTATTTCGATAGTCCACTTTAGACATTCTATTAACTATAAGTAACTTTGTAACTACATGTCAACTACATGTCAACTAATTCTCATTACTTTGCAACTACATGTCTACTAACTCTCGAGTAGACTGTTCGGGTAGGTTTAGGGTTAGTAGAATAAGTTGACAAAGAAAGTGTTAGAAGATATTAAGCAGACAGTTTACTAATACTCTACTAACTGCTAGTTGACATGTAGTTGCAAAGTTACTTACTGTTAATAGAATGTCTAAAGTGGACTATCGAAATAAAGTGTTGCCCAAACTACAGCTGATTTCAGGATTTATAAACAACAGAAACCTTAATCTGTGTACAATCTGTTTGTTCATCAGGTGTGTTTGGTGAGTCAGTGTCAGTGATGGAGGGAGATTCTGTTACTTTACACGCTGATGTTACTGAAATACGTGATGATGATTATATACTGTGGAAATTTGGAGCTAAAAAATCTCTGATAGCTCAAATCAGAAGAAATTTTGGAATCTTCAACACATTTGTTGGTCCAGATGAGAGATTCAGAGACAGACTGAAGCTGGACAAACAGACTGTATCTCTGACCATCACAAACACCTCAACTGAACATGCTGGAGATTATAAACTAGAAATACATAGAGCGAAACCGTCATCAAAAACATTCAGTGTTTTTGTCTATGGTGAGTAGAGATCATTTGTCTTTCAAACTATTAAATTTTTTACATGCTGATATTTTATAGTTTAAGATGACACACACACACACTGTGAACACACTCAACATTGTTGATTAGTTTTATCCAGATTTGTTTATTGTCTCATGTTTTCAGCTCGTCTGCCTGTTCCAGTCATCAGCAGAGACTGTTCTTCATCATCCTCATCCATGTCTACTAACTCTCGAGTAGACTGTTCGGGTAGGTTTAGGGTTAGTAGAATAAGTTGACAAAGAAAGTGTTAGAAGATATTAAGCAGACAGTTTACTAATACTCTACTAACTGCTAGTTGACATGTAGTTGCAAAGTTACTTACTGTTAATAGAATGTCTAAAGTGGACTATCGAAATAAAGTGTTGCCCAAACTACAGCTGATTTCAGGATTTATAAACAACAGAAACCTTAATCTGTGTACAATCTGTTTGTTCATCAGGTGTGTTTGGTGAGTCAGTGTCAGTGATGGAGGGAGATTCTGTTACTTTACACGCTGATGTTACTGAAATGCGTGATGATGATTATATACTGTGGAAATTTGGAGCTAAAAAATCTCTGATAGCTCAAATCAGAAGAAATTTTGGAATCTTCAACACATTTGTTGGTCCAGATGAGAGATTCAGAGACAGACTGAAGCTGGACAAACAGACTGTATCTCTGACCATCACAAACATCACAACTCCAACTCTGTCACACATGTTCAGGTACGGCAGCGCATATGCATTTACTGAATTAATTTAGTTAATTTATCAAGAGCGCTTTACTTAAGATGCCAGAAATGATGAATGAGCTTCTGTCATCATTTACACGTCTTTCTAAACGGTTTGGATTTTTTTTTTCTTCTGTTGAGCGGAAAAGGAGATATTTTCGAGTTCATGTCAGAGACTGAAATGAGAAAATTTATCATTTGCTTCATTATTTGTTGTTTTTTCAGAGGTTCACATCCACTGCTGTGATACAGTTGAAGCTGTGATCCGATTGGTCGTCGCTGCTCTGATGGGCGTGGCTGCTGCAGCTGCTGTTGTTCTTCTGATCAATGACATCAGATCTACAAGAGGTTAAAAGAAGAAAACAGAACAGATATCAAATATTCTCACATATATTGGAGTTTTAATCTTAAAGATGAATATATGTGTGGTCTAATTGTTTAATGATGGCAAAATGAAGTTTTGCTCTCCATCTGGTGGCCAAAACAATGAAAATTTGTAAAATTTCATTTCATTTTTAAATGTCCCCCATTTTACATTTATTTTTCAACTACACAGTTTTCATTTTTTTCTTGATTTGTTATGTTGAATTTTCATTTTGTTTCATTATTATATGCAGCAACCTCTAAAATACAAAAGTGAAATGATTTGTCACAATCTTTTTTTTTGAAAACTGGATATTACATACTGAAAAGATGAAAGATCTATGAATCATATGCCTATATTTTAATTAAAGTGGTGTCATAAGAATAATTAATTCAGAATCAGACTGAATGACGGTTTGTTGGTCCAGATGAGAGATTCAGAGACAGACTGAAGCTGGACAAACAGACTGTATCTCTGACCATCACAAACACCTCAACTGAACATGCTGGAGATTATAAACTAGAAATACATAGAGCGAAACCGTCATCAAAAACATTCAGTGTTTTTGTCTATGGTGAGTAGAGATCATTTGTCTTTCAAACTATTAAATTTTTTACATGCTGATATTTTATAGTTTAAGATGACACACACACACACTGTGAACACACTCAACATTGTTGATTAGTTTTATCCAGATTTGTTTATTGTCTCATGTTTTCAGCTCGTCTGCCTGTTCCAGTCATCAGCAGAGACTGTTCTTCATCATCCTCATCCTCATCATCATCACAGCAGAATTGTTCACTGGTGTGTTCAGTGGTGAATGTGGGTCATGTGACTCTCTCCTGGTACAAAGGAAACAGTTTATTGTCCAGCATCAGTGTGTCTGATCTCAGCATCAGTCTCTCTCTACCTCTGGAGGTGGAATATCAGGATAACAACACCTACAGCTGTGTGCTCAACAATCCCATCAGCAACCAGACTCAGCATCTGGACATCAGTCAACTCTGTCACACATGTTCAGGTACGGCAGCGCATATGCATTTACTGAATTAATTTAGTTAATTTATCAAGAGCGCTTTACTTAAGATGCCAGAAATGATGAATGAGCTTCTGTCATCATTTACACGTCTTTCTAAACGGTTTGGATTTTTTTTTTTCTTCTGTTGAGCGGAAAAGGAGATATTTTCGAGTGCATGTCAGAGACTGAAATGAGAAAATTTATCATTTGCTTCATTATTTGTTGTTTTTTCAGAGGTTCACATCCACTGCTGTGATACAGTTGAAGCTGTGATCCGATTGGTCGTCGCTGCTCTGATGGGCGTGGCTGCTGCAGCTGCTGTTGTTCTTCTGGTCAATGACATCAGATCTGCTAGAGGTTAAAAGAGAAAACAGAACAGATATCATAAATATTCTGACATATATTGGAGTTTTAATCTTAAAGATGAATATATGTGTGGTCTAATTGTTTAATGATGGCAAAATGAAGTTTTGCTCTCCATCTGGTGGCCAAAACAATGAAAATTTGTAAAATTTCATTTCATTTTTAAATGTCCCCCATTTTACATTTATTTTTCAACTACACAGTTTTCATTTTTTTCTTGATTTGTTATGTTGAATTTTCATTTTGTTTCATTATTATATGCAGCAACCTCTAAAATACAAAAGTGAAATGATTTGTCACAATCTTTTTTTTTTGAAAACTGGATATTACATACTGAAAAGATGAAAGATCTATGAATCATATGCCTATATTTTAATTAAAGTGGTGTCATAAGAATAATTAATTCAGAATCAGACTGAATGACGGTTGAATAAAAAACAGCATGAAACACTATATTTAACAAACGCAGACCGTGTAAATGGCAATATTTCATATACCTGTAAATTTTTTGTGGACAAAACAACACTTTGGAACAATTTTGAAATCTGTATCAATATAAAACTGATATGATAGAAATGTGTGTATGATGTGCTTTACGTAATTGTTATGCTTTATGTAAATAATGCATCTGGTGGCCAAAACAATGAAAATTTGTAAAATTTCATTTCATTTTTAAATGTCCCCCATTTTACATTTATTTTTCAACTACACAGTTTTCATTTTTTTCTTGATTTGTTATGTTGAATTTTCATTTTGTTTCATTATTATATGCAGCAACCTCTAAAATACAAAAGTGAAATGATTTGTCACAATCTTTTTTTTTGAAAACTGGATATTACATACTGAAAAGATGAAAGATCTATGAATCATATGCCTATATTTTAATTAAAGTGGTGTCATAAGAATAATTAATTCAGAATCAGACTGAATGACGGTTGAATAAAAAACAGCATGAAACACTATATTTAACAAACGCAGACAGTGTAAATGGCAATATTTCATATACCTGTACATTTTTTGTGGACAAAACAATACTTTGGAATGATTTTGAAATCTATATCAATATAAAACTGATATGATAGAAATGTGTGTATGATGTGCTTCACGTAATTGTTATGCTTTATGTAAATAATGTGATTATTAGAAACACAAATGTAGAAATCGTCATGCCAATAAAACACCATAAAACTGATATCAATTTTATAATGATGATGATAATTTTACAGTAGGTTTACCACTCATTTTACAGATTTTACTGTAGTGTGGAAATACTGAAAATATTAATACAATGAATAAATAAATGTAACTATAAATGAATAATGTAACTATGAATAACCAAAAATACCTTTTTAAAAGAAAATTTTCACATTAAAAAACTGTAAAACCCTTTACCCTCATTCACTGTTCCCTAAATTAGTTTACTTTAGTGAATAAAAACAAGTGAGCGAATATAGACAGACAAACTCAGTAATGTAAAACAAACACATCATTTGTTTAATCAGTTTAAACTTTAATGTCTTCAGTCATGGCCTGGTTAAAGAGTCAGACTTGTAACCCGAAGGTCACAGGTTTGAGTCTCAGGTCCGGCAGGGATTGTAGATGGGGGGGAGTGAATAACCAGCACTCTCCTCCACCCTCAATACCATGAGTGAGGTGAGACCCTTGAGCAAGGCACCGAACCCCCAACTGCTCCCTGGGTGCCACAGCATTGGCTGCACTCTTCTCCGTGTGTGTGTGTGTGTATGTGTGTTCACTACTTACTGATGTGTGTGTGTGTGCACTTGGATGGGAGAAATGCAGAGCACAAATTCTGAGTATGGGACACTATACTTGTCCACACGTCACATTACTTTCACTTCTTTTATTTCAGTTGATTTCATGTAACTCCGTGGCTCGAAGTCAGTTAGTTGTGTTTTTACTCACCTCTTCCCTTTTTTTGTTCTTGTTTCTCTTTCTTTCAGTGATTCTGTTAGTTAAAAGCATGTGTTGACTAATGCAGAATAAGCACTTAATTAACCACTTAATTATCTAATTTACTAAAAACAAATGCTTCAGTGTAACTTTAACACTCAGTAGTGTGCACACTGAGCAGTGTTCATTTAACACTGATGATTGTGCTGAAGAGCCTGTGTTTAAGGCAAAGATGGAGCAGAAAACCTTGATGATGCTTTAGTTAAAAGGCAGTAACTGTGTAGTTTCCAATGCAGTGATGTCTATCAGTGAGTTACATTAGTTCAGGCATGTGTGCTATTGCTAGCTAAAGGTTGACTCCAAGAGATTTGAGTTTAATTGGTTTAATTATTTATTAAGTAATTCAGCTGAGTTTGAAATATAAACACAGTATAAATATTAGTTTTTGAATGGTTTAAGGCAATTACTTACATATAGTGAACTGAATTACTTATAGCTACATGATCTTGAATTATTTTTATTTAATAGTTAATGAAATAAATATACACTAAAATACAATTAAATAATAAAAACAGCAGTGACAACATGCCACAGGAAATCTAAAGAGGACTTTTTATTATAGACATACATTTATCATTTTTCTCATGCATGAATAAATATGATAATACAGCAAAAACAGTAAGAGAGTCATTTTTGTTCTGGAAGTATTTGTCCCATTAATTTTCTCCATAAAGATTTCACACAAAAAAAGTCTTCTAAGTCTTTTACTACATTTAAATGTACTCTAGATCAGTTTACAGCTAGTGTCACACAGTTAACAGTTGGTATAATAAATTATTTTAGCAGCACACTTCACCTGTACTACATCTGACCAGCACGAATTCAAAAGAGTTATACCAAAACCAAAGCAATGGAAAATATTACAAAAATATCTCTTAGTCCTGAAGAAAAATACCCCTTGAATCCACACAATGATAAAAGTGAACAACAATTGAAAGCATTGCAAGAGCATGGAAAATAATAATATAATAAACATTAATAAATTATTACATGATTATAAATTAATAATATATCCAAAATGTAAAAAAAAAAAAAAAAAAACACAACTGTGATATATGGTCACTCCCTTGAAGCTAAGTGCATTACAATTAGTGTGTCCAGTTTTACAATTAGCGTTTCATCAAGTTAAACCTTAAAAAAAAAAAAACTAGAATAATTATGTGCTTGTAAATTGGCTTTAATGCTAATAAAACAAGGGAAATAAAAGATTAATGTATTATGTTTTACAGTGAAGATTAGGGGTGCTCATTTTAACCGGTTAACCGTTAACCCAGGGGCGTAGCCATCATTTTAGAAGTGAGGGGGACATCTATCTGTACGCTATATAACCTACCAGTCATCAGTTTTTGAACAGTAAGATTTTTTATGTTTTATAAAGAAGCCTCTTCTGCTCACCAAGCCTGCATTTATTTGATTCAAAGTACAGCAAAAGCAGTAATGTTGTGAAATATTTTTACTATTTCAAATAACTGCTTTCTATTTGAATATATTTTCAAATGATTACTGAGATCAAAGCTGAATTTCCAGCATCATTACCCCAGTCTTCAGTGTCACATCCTTCAGAAATTATTATAATATTCTGATTTGCTGCTCAAGAAACCTTTTTTAATTATTATTATCATCAATATTTAAAACAGTTGAGTAAATGTTTTCAGGATTCTTTGATGAATAGAAGGATCCAAAGATCAGCATTTATGTGAAATAAAAAGCTTTTGTAACATTATACAC